TTTTAATGACATTTATCATATCAGTCATTATGCATAATAGTAGTTATATACTTACATGAACATATAAATAATAATGATTTACTCCGACTGATTTTAATATTAATAATAACAATATCTATTTTTATATATATCTTTTCAAAAGAAATATATTTTAAAAAATATTAGTGTTGTTGTCTATGAAACATGAACGAAGAATTATATATAATTTTATATTTAATTTTTTAGGAGCCTTCCATCAACTTAATAAATGTTACACATTCTCTTTGTTGACATTTCCGTTCCTCCTTTGTAATTCTTTGTTAATTTTAGTTTCGCTTTTAAAAATTTAGAAGTTTTGCAAAATACTTATGAATTAAAATTATTAATTGTGTTTAGATTATATTTCAAAAAATAAACTAACAACTCATTTTAGATTTCAGAAGTTATATTATGTTATTTCAACATTCAAAAATAAAAATATATATAATTAAATTTTAAATATGAAGTTTTTATCAATCGCGCGAAGCGCGAATTGATTCCCTAGTAATAGTAATAAGACAAGTGTGGAATTTAAATCACCAATTTCATTTATAGAGGTGCATTCAATAATTATTACATCATAGAACACTTGAAGCTTGGATATGCACATATATACTGAAGTAATTTTATTAAAGTATTGCATTTCTTTATATGATCTAGAAAAAAGATGTGTGAATTCACGTGAACTCATATCCATCCACGGCTCTACCTTAAGGTGCTTCTATATACAGGTCAAAAATAACTCTGACATTGGATTAATTTATGAGTAAACCTTTTGTTTTCTTTGGCTTCTGGATTTTGCATAAAGGTCAAGATTGTAATTTACTCTGTTATAATAGCTCAATAATCATATGTACCATTATTTACCTAATGATGTGCGACTGACACTAACTTTTCAAGAATTAGCATTTATAGTTTGTTGAATAGAAAATTATCAATAAAGTCAAAAAGACTATTCAGTGGTGGAGACACCCAAGTATTTGTCTATGTATGTGTTTGTAAATAAAAAAAAATTTAAAATAAAACAATATGTAAATATTCAAAACGCAAAATTACAAAGGTAATATTAATTTGAGATGGGAAATAAAGCTTTAAAACCAACATAATCATAATCACGTATTCACATACAAGTGTAATAATTGAGACAATATTAGACTAAGAAATATCGCTTAAATAAATTTTGCTTATTGTCACGATCCTAGTCTATGGCATGTATTGTTTGTTATGAATTTGTGTTACAAGGTTATGACGTATTGAACCTCAAAGTGTACTATCATGTGGATTTAAGTTATGTACATTCTATTAATCTCTTTACTTTTTCTCTTTAATTTCAATTTGAGATATTTCGTCTGAATGTCATGTACACTTCATCTTCAAAAATTTATCAACCTCGTTGGACGTGCTCTCGCAGCATGCCCTCCATCACGGGTTACACACATATGTAACTGTGGACAAAGAAAAACTTGTAAACTCTGCAAAGACCAAGCCTCCAATAAAGACCAATTTAGTAAAACAAATGTAGTCAAAAATTGATTTTTTTTTTTAAAAAAAATGTTGCTCTTGTGTCAGCAACAAGTGATCCAAGAAAAAAGGTTCAACTGACTCTTCATTAATATGGTCATATATAGTAGAATTTGCCTACACTTTATAAAGCTGCTTACTGACTCACTTGCCTTGTTTTATGTTGCTCAAAACCTTATGAAATGTGAAATATTGTTCCTTCCGTCCACTTTTAATTATTACTATGTAGTATTTAAAAAAAAAAAAAAATTAATTAATTTTTAAAGTTAAATTAAATTACATTAATTTGATATATTAAATAAAAAATTAAATATTAAAAAATTATACAAAAACTACTATAAATTGTAACTTTACATATCAATATGATGAAAAATACATTATAAAATGTTATTTGAAGTTCTTTTATCATTTAACTCATTTGGCAGAGTTTAAATAGATTTGCAGACAATTCTGAACTTCAATCCCACTGACAAAAAAAGTATTCTCACTAACGTTGTCAATACATAATATGAACAGAATCAAATATTATCCACTAAGTTTGAAATTTTATTGCATGTGAATTGTGATGATATACTAAGACTACTGTTTCATCTTATCCTTTATAAATTGCAATATTATAATAACTCATTCAATATAAGAATGAACTCTTAATTTAAAGTTCCTTTGACGCTCATACGACGCATGCTACTTTTTTTGGTTAAAGAAAATTAAAATCAATTGACTTTCTAAAAATTCCCTATTGATCTTAATTTATGTGATATATTTTTTATTTTAATTGATTAAAAAAAGAGTGACATATTTTATATTTAGTAAGTAATAATTTAATTTTAAAATGACAATTTTATCCAATCACATAAACATCTATGACTAATTTTAAATCAAAAGATTTTCTTTTATTATTAAACTCAAATAACATCTTATTCCCTCCGTTTCATATTAGATGAGTATCTTACTATAAATATTTGTCTCATGTTACTCTCGCACTTACTAAATTAGGATAGAATTAATTAGTTTTTTTTTCATTTTAATTCTACAATTAATATGGCATTTGGAAGTTTAAACAAATTTTGAAGATATAAGAATTTCTTTTTTAAGAGGTTAATTAATATGAACAAATGACAAAATAGTAAAGTTGATTAATATATTAATAATTTTTTTTAATAATCGAATAAAATAACAAATGTTCATTTAATACGAAACGAAGGAAGTATAAATTTAAACGAGAATGTAATAAGTATTTATTGAATAACCATCTAAAAAATCAATCCTAACATTATTACCATTACTCTTGTTACCACCGGGATAAATATGACCCCTACACCTATTCCCAAATCCAATAAATATCCATTTTTAACATTGATGTGGTTAAGAATTAAGTATCACCAACTTCAAAAAGAAAGTAATATTATCTCCGTCTAATAATAGTTGTCTGCATGTTCAACAATATTTGTTCACTTTATAAAATTAATGGATAATTTTTCACCTAGTTTATAATTTATCCTTATCATTAATTATAGTTATTTCTCTATTATATTTTTCAAGATATTGTATTTATTATATTCAAAAGATAGTACTCCCTCTGTCCCTAATTACTTGTCCACTTTTGAATTGACACGAAAATAATAATTGACATAGTGAGTTTACCATTTTACCCCTATTAATTATGAAGTGGGTGAATTAAAAACTTAAGATTTTCAAAAAGTTCTACTTTTTCAAAGTAATTAACTGAGGGTATAATAAGTAAAAAAAAATTGTCCTTTCTTGATTTGTCAAAATAGACAAGTAATTAGGGAGAACTAAAAAGGAAAAAGTGGATAAGTAATTAGAAACAGAGGGAGTAATACAGTAGAATTACTTTTCAATTTATAATTTCTTAAGAAGTGTGCAAAACTAATAGTGAATAAGTATTGTTGGACAGACGGAGTAAAAATAAAATGGAGTGTGGTAAATAACAAGCACAATATGCAAGGGAGTAGTTGGCATTTGCTGGATGGCTGTTGCACAAATATTGTTGAACATATGATTTTCTTGCAATCACCATGCTGTACCAATATCACTTGCAACTTGCCAAAAACTCATTACCCACCCCACCCCCACCCCCTATCCCAC